AGATGGCGCCAGGTCTGGGGAGTACGGCGGGTGCGGAAGGATGTCCCATCCAAGCGATTTCAAGGTGTCTTTCACTGATTTTGCTGTGTGAGACGGCGCATTGTCGTGTAACAAAATCACTTTGCCATGTCTTCTGGCCCATTCCGGTCGTCTTTCGATTAATGCGTGGTTTAAATTAATCATTTGTTGGCGATAGCGTTGTGTATTAACGGTTTCGCCGGGCTTCAAGAATTCATAATACACAATACCGCTCTGGTCCCACCAGACCAGGCATGGTCTTCTTGCCGAAGCGATTTGGCCTTGGTGTTGATGGACCGGCTTCGCCAGGTGAAAGCCACGATTTTTTCCGCTTCGGGTTTTCAAAATAAATCCATTTTTCGTCACCCGTCATAATTCGATACAAAAATGATTTCCTTTCGTGGCGTTGAAGCAGTATTTCACACACAAGTGACTTTGCGATTTTCCATTTGACGTTCATTCAAATCGTGTGGGACCCATTTACCGAGTTTATTGATCTTTCCCATTGCTCGTAAACGTCTGCTGATTGTTTCTTGTGATACATGTAATGCTTCTGCTAATTGCCGTTGAGTTTGAGTTGGGTCATCATACAATAACTCCTGCAATTGCTCGTCTTCGCATTTTTATAGTCTACCAGAGCGCTCACTGTCTTTCACATTGAAATCACCACTTTTAAATTGTCGAAACCATGTCTCACATGTTCTAATCGATGGAGCGTGTTCACCATATGTTTCTACCAGCAAACGATGAAACAGCCTTTTCAACAGCCTTTTTCTTTTGATTAAATAAAAAAAGCAATGCGTGCCGCAAATGTTCTTTTTCAGGCACAAAACTCGACATGATCATTGAACGATAAAACAAAGACGCTAGTTTTTGGCGGACTCAACTTGTGTGTGTTTGTAGTTTTAAATGTCAGACGAACAAAATGATGTATGTGTCAAATTAATACACTGCGTACTTTTTGCTGGCGACATCTCTTAGTTAAATCGAAAAAAACTTATGCATACACCTGGTAAAAGTGAGCGGCCTACAGCTTAGTTGAAAAGATCGGGTTATGTTGATGGAATTAATTTCAAGGCAAAAGCGGGGAATCAGAAAAATTTTTAAATATAGGAAGAAATTTTAAATCCAGGATCCCAGGAGCTGGATTAGCATCACTCGTGAATATACTACTACTACTACTACTACTACTTAAAAAGAATTAGAGCTACTATCATTTGAGTTTTAGAAGAAGAAAACTTCAATGAGAATACAAACATACATTTTGCTTGGATTTTATTTTTTTAAAAGCAGTTATATATGTTGAATTTTTGAGGTAATAGAATTATAACTTAGTGCCACTTCTTTAATAACAAATCTTTTCCACAAATGATATACATATTATTAAGGTTGAGCATTAAATATTATGTAAATTCACTAAGGTGACGCAATTTTGTGATATAACACTTAAATTTAAAAACCCTTGAGTGCAAAGATATGTACTTGAGTTTTTTTATTTTTATTTTTTTTAAGGATAATTATAATTTTTTAAAATAGAAATGTAGTACTTATAATTATAATTATTTTATATAATTTGGTATCAGTTATTGATACGATATCTAATACAATATTTTATACAAATAATATACATTTGAAAATTCAATCAAACTTTCAAAGATTATTGAGGGCATCAAAAGGATTATTTTTTGAAAATGGACTTAGGGTCAGAAACGTGTCGTTACATCGCTACGGCAGTGTCCGAAAAAAGTTGGACCTCGAAATATCTCAAAAAATATAAGTTTTATAAAAAATTGTTTCAGAGAAAAGTTGTAGGGAGTAAGAAGATCTGTTTACTATTCTTATAAGTTTTACCTTGGATGGCGTCGTCATCAATATCAGGTCGCAACCAAAATCAGGTCGAGAGTGTTTTAGGCAAGGTCGATGGCTGATTTAGGCAATGAAGGCAAGATCGGTGGCTGATATAAGTAATGAAGGTAAGATTGGTGGCTGATCAATAAAGATTCTGTAGTTGTGATGTTATGCAGGAAGGTGTCTCAGAGTAGGTATTCGAAGTCCCCCATGTGTCGTAATGTCGTCCCCCATGATCTTTGCACAATCAATAGCGCCGAACCAAGGACGGACGAATACGGTAGGATTGTCCTTGATTTCATCATTTGCAACTACAATTCTGGCAACAAGCTCTTCTTTGCTTGCGATAGATGTTTCGTAGACTATGCTCTTCAAATGCCGCCATAAGTAGAAGTGGGAGATCAGGTGATCTCGCAGGTCAGGCTACAGGTCCTTCTCGCCCAATCCATTTGTCCGAAAAGGTCGTGTTCAAGTAGTTACACATCTGCTGCAAAAACTGCTGGGCCGTCATGCTGAAACCATATATTTCGACGAATGACTAGAAGTACATTCTTCAGGAAGTCCGGAAAGATGTCTTGTAGAAAAATAGAGTTAGATAGTTGTTAGATAGTTAGATAGTTGTCCCCGTGCAGGTTGTCGGGCAAAATGTAAGGTCCGAAGAAACAGTCACCGAAGATACTAGTCCAAACGTTCACGCTGAACCACTTCTGATAGTTTCCCTCTCTCACAACATGTGGATTTTCATCCGTCCATACGTAGCTATTATGGGAATAAAAGAGTTCCTTCTCTGGTGAACACAGCCTCATCAGTGAATAGGATAAATTTTGAAAAATCTGGCGAGGATTTTCCGCAGGAAATCACTGCACAAATTCTTGACGGTGAGGATAATCGGGCGGATTCAAACTCTGCATCTTCAGCCGCTTGTATGAATGCAAAAACTGTTCGTGCAGGACTTGCCAAACTGTGCTTTGTGCTGTACCGACAGCCGCAGCCACAACACGAGTGCTCGATAGATTATTTTCCACACGAGACAGGACATCCTTTTCCATCTCCGGCGTGCAGACCGGTTCATCTACGTCCAGCATCAGGCCTGTTAACATCTATCGATCCAGTTTCTTTGAGACGCTGAAATACCTGAGCAAAGGTACTGTGATGAGAAATGCGTCGTTTTGTGAAACGTTCTTGATAGAAGAACCTAGCTATTGAACGCCCGTGATATTGGACTTCTCCGTACACAGTAATTAGCATACTCACATCAAATCGTACTCGGTAAGAAAAGAATGAAATCAGAAATAAAATATTTTATTTTCTTAGTGATGACTTCAATTTAATATGCGTTTTGACAACAGTACATAACAGTACTGTTCGGTGTATATACAACAATATTGTTTGGATTACATAAAACTGAAGTCTACAAATAAATGAAAGTTTTTATTTGCTCGAATATGTAATTAAAATGAACATCATACGACGCACTCGGGCGATTAAAGAGTAGATTTGCCACTATCCTCACCTTCATTTGCGGATAAATAATATGATAGCTACAGTTGTCAACATATTACCAATAAAACTTAATAACTTCGAAATGGCTGATCTAAAGGACAAGGATCTAATGGACAACAATATTTTGAAAAGGTTTTGAGAAGGGTTTTCAGAATATGCGATAAAAAATAGGGAGTTCTATTTAAAAAATTCAAGGTGATTTCAACTTGATCTTGGTCCAACGCCAAGGTCAAACTCATAAAGTCAGTAAATAGATCTTTTTACCACCTATGACTTTTGTCTGAATTTTTTATAAAACTTATATTTTTTTAAGATATTTCAAGGTACGATCTTTTTTGAACATTGTCTGCCGTAGCGATGTAATGACACGCTTCCGACCCCAGGTTCATTTATAAAAAGTGATCCTTTTGATGCCTCCAACCTTTGAAAGTTTGTCGATTGAATTTTCGAACACCTTGTATACTGATGATATTATTTAGATTGAATATATAATTGGTAGAGTAAATGATAATAATGTTTTATAAAGAAGAATTATATTTATAAAGAAGAATTAAGTAATATAACTACTATAGCATGGGGAAGGAAAAATTTTTAACAGGTTATGCCTGTTAAGGATATATATATCATACATATTTAAATGTTATTTTTTAAGAAGAAGACATTTCTTCTTCTTCTACATAAGCTTACAACCTCTTTCCCGTACGCCTGTGCACACATAGGTGATGCACAAGCATGTATAACGGGATCCACATATAACGCCGGTTCCGAATAGTAAACTTTTTGAGGAGGTTCTGTGACAAGAATACTCTCGCAGTTTGCCAAGAAGAGACACGAGCGTATGAAAATATTTTGATTCTACTGGAAATCGAATCCGGGATCTCTAGCGTAGTAGACCTATGCGCTGTCACGTTCGCTCATAAGAAAACATTATTTTTGTAAAATAAAATAACTTTTTGCTACTATCAAAATCATATTATTTTACAAAATACTTTCTATTAGAAACTAACATTTTTATACAATAATTTTTCATGTCATCTTCACCATACAAGACGTTCTTCTTGTTTCATGTCATCATAATAAAAAATAAATATGTCATCATACATTCAAATATATTATTTTATACGTTTATATAGTCAGTTTTATATATTCAGTTTTTATTCTTAATTATACAATATATAAAAATACAATATATAAAAATAAATCTCTTGGAACAGTCAAGAAAAAAGTGCAATTTTTACTGGCCATTCGGAAATATTTAAAAAACATTTAAAAAATATATATATAGAAAATCGATATAAATGCTTATTCATTTATTCATAACATATTATATAATAATCTATGCATTCGGATTTAATGAAAAAGTTGCAAGAAGCGAGATTTGAGCCTACACGTAATGTTTTCGCCAAGCATTCGGCTACGTCACTAAGCTCGAAATATGTTAAAAAAATCGCTGTATATAAGTAAAAAATTTCAACTTTTTGTGAATATTTCATGAAAGTTATATTTTGGCTTTGTCAAGCATTAGTGGGAAATAAAGCACTACAACATATTTCAAGCTCGGCGAAATTCAAAAGACTGTCTACAAATATATTCTCCTTGTGAGAACTATTTTAATTAAATGCGATACTCACTGCTCTCAATCGCGAATGAACACAATGGGTCATCAAAGGGGAAGATATTAAGTCTACCTTGGCAGGATAGAATAAGATGACGTCTGTAAAATGATAATAATCTGTTTACAAAGAAAGCTTTCAGTGAACAAATATAGGGATGTCCCATTTTAATCAACGCACTTGAATTTCTCCGAAACCGTGCGAAATATCGAAATCATATTTAGGAGGTTATATGATAGCGAGAGGGAATATATTTTGATAAAAAAATGTTGACCTTGAATAGAAGCATAAAGTCAACTTAATTTTTTAAAATGGCAACCTAATTTTTTAACACCTATGTATGTTTGTAGTGTTGTTCATTATGAGTTCAATGCGCTATGACTCAAGGTTCAAAGTCAAATGGCTAAATGCGAGTTTACAATTGGATAGCATCCAGTATCCGGAGAGAGAGTAGTACGATGCTATGCCGCTACGCGCCGCAGCAGGCCAACTTTCTCGAATTTAAAATTTGGTCATTAATAGGATAAGAGCGAGCATTTAAAGTGCCTCGGTCAAGCTAGATATTACTACTACTAATACTACTACGAACTTAGATTCTTAAACGTATGAACAACGTACGAATTTCATTCTGATCCTTAATAATAGCAGATAACACATCAATTGAAATAGTAAATATGTCGTTAATTTTAGAAGAAAATTGTGATAATTTCGAGGATACTGAATGCTTGTATCGCGATCGATATTCTAATAGACGCCATCTAAATGACACAGTAATTCAGAATTGTGTATTAAAACTTCGACAAAATTAAATTTATAGGACTCGTACACGACGAGGGTTGAACAAAATTACTGAACTCGTAATTTTAGGCGCTGTTGCTATACAGTCCACAATAAATATCAACTAAATGAGATTATGTATAATATTCCGTGATCAACTTTCGTGAATATTAAAAAAATATAAATTTTATCCTTATTACATTAAATTGTTGAAAGTATTAACACTAAATGATTTCAAAAAGACTACAAATCTGTAATTGGGCTCAACGTAAAATGCAGAGAAATATATTTTTCTCACGTGTCATTTTCTGATGAGGCAAGTTTTACTAATATAGGCCGTGTGAATCGATAAAATTCACATTATTGGTCAGAAACAAATCCTCATTGGTACGATACCAATGAGGATTTGTTTCTGATCAATAGTATCACATCAAACCATGATCGGTGTATTTGTTGCAGTTGTGTGAATGGATATATCATTAGTCCTCATTATCACGGTTTCAGAGAAATACATCATTGGTACCCTTACAGGCGCAATTTACAACGAGTTTCTGGAAAAACTGTCGAAATTTTTAAAGAATATTTATCTTCAAAACTCGGCAAAATGTGGTTTCAGCAGCGCCTGCACATTATGATCACAGAATTCAAAATATCCTGAATCAAATGTTTCTAGAACATTGGGTTAGAAGTGATGGTCCTCACCCGGATGGAAGAAGCGTCGCCAGCACGGAAAAGGCGTATGAGGCTTTCAAAATGGCCAGAGCCTCACTCAGATCAGTCATCAAGGTGTCGAAGGCCAAAGCTTCAACTTGTTGGAAGACCAATTCGCGATGGCAACCAAGTCGGATAAGGGCTGTGGCCAATCAGGTTCAGCGTCGTATGACTGCCAAAGGCGCCCGCGCATACAGGACGGTGTCACACACAGCCGTCACTATTCTGACAGTGGACCTTCTCGCTCTCGACCGCGCAGCTTACAGGCGCATCAGGGTAATAAGGGCCGGGACCGTGGCAAAAATAAAGGAGGAGGAGTAGGACCGAGTCTTATTGCTCTGGGACCCGGTCTCAGCTGGCCGTTAGACTACCGAAGTCACCCGGCCCATTTTACGCGAATGGGTGGGGAAAGGCCATGGCAGGCTGCCTTCCGGCTGCCTTCCGGCTGACACAGATGTTCACTGGTCATGGGTGTTTCGGCGAGTACTTGTGTCGAATAAGAAGAGAGGACATCGACATGTGCCATCCTTGCGGTGCGGTCCGGGATTTGATGCTGGAAAAATGTCCGGCATGGGCCGAGGAGTGCCGAGCCCTGGCTGCGATTGAAGACGACCTCTCCCTTTCGCTGTTGATCGCTGGAATGGAGTGAGAGGAGAAAGTTAGGAGAGCAGAGGGTAGCCTCCTCCTTCTGTGAATCAGTCATGTCGCAGAAAGAGAGAACCGAGAGAATTAGGCTGAGAGTGGTTCTGGATTCCACACAGGCGAGGTCCATGGGAATCTGCCCACGCTACCAAAGGAGGCATCTTTTGGCGCATTTGAGACCATAGGACTTAGGCTCCCAATGACAGGAAGATAAGGAATTGAGCTTCTTTTTCCCCCCTGTGTACAAACACAATAGTGTCGAGGAGGGGCGGGGCGGGGTGTTCCAGTCCCGCTGCATTAGGGAACGCGCCGGGGATTACAACACCCCGATAGGGGGCACCCCCCTGGAAGTATGCCGACAGTCGTCTTGCACACATAGCCATAGAGGGACACTGTGGGGTTTTAGTGGATAGGGATCCTCTTAGAATCCGAGTCACACTCCCCTGGGCAAGTCAAACCGCCCAAGGAATTAGTGCGTAAAAGCATTTCCTCAGAGAAAGGTGATCCTATTTGACCAGCTAGACCTCCAAACCTAACATCATTAGATTTTTTCTTTGGAACTATCTTAAGAATACTGTATATCGCGAAAGATCAAATAATTCTGATAAGTTGAAAACGCCAATTATAACGGCCTGTTAAAACGTCTTATCAGAAACGCTATCAAATGTGTTGCGATCATTTAAACATTGTATTACCATCTGCATTCATTGTCAGGAACAATAGTTTAAATATGTATAAGGGCGATAATTGTAAACTCGCAGTTGGCCATTTGACTTTGGATGACTTTGAGTCAAACGCATTGAACTTGTAATGAGCAACACTATAAACGTAGTGTTACTCGTTTTTACGTAGTGTTACAAGTTTAAAAAATTAAGTTGATCTTAATTTGACCTTTATATTTTCAGTCAAGGTCAACATTTTTTTATCAAAATATTCCTTTCTTGATATCACACAATCTCGTGAAAACATAATTTTGATATTTTGCATGGTTCCGGAAAAATTTAAGTACGTTGATTAAAATGAGACGCACTGTATAAAAAGAGTTGAAATTATAATATTGACTTCGAATTATTTAAAAAACTCCATAAAAATATTTATTATGTTTTCACAATAATATTTATTAATTTATATTTTACAATATATTATTAATCATTTTTTCTAACGTTTTACATTTTAAATATATTTAATTTGCATATCAAACAAATTAATGTTTCAAATACCGCATAAGATAGTTGACGGTGCCATTACGATATATCCGCAGGGCAAAATGAACAGGATTGATTGGGTCCTTGAAATCCCCATGCATTATGAAATATGTATCCGGCAACCAGATATCTTCAGAATGATGAATTGCATTTAAAAAATCATATCTGGATCTATTGCTATAACGCAATCGTGGATCGTACCACTGTTGCTGGAGCAAAAATTCTACCTCGTACTTCTGTAAAAGTAGAAAAATGATAGATGATATAATCTCTTACATAAGATGTTCAATAAAGATAGATCTATTTACTAATCTTATCAATTTGATCTTGAGTGGCATCGTTTATGTGAGGTCAAGGTCGACTTTTTTTTATTAAAACACAATATTTTTGGCTCCAGAATCTGATAGCTGATGTCAAGCGCTTCAAAACACTATAATCAAATATTTTTTTGAATATTTGTTAAGTTATGAGGCTTGAAGTTTACAGTACCACCGACATTAGCATTATTCCAGATATATCATGTGAAAGTGGCCCG